AGGAAGAAGAAGCATTGGTTCGGGTTCCACAAATGGGCCTTCTCAGTGCAGGCGGTTTTGGTGCGAATATCCTGACGTGTCCTACTGGGAACTGAACCAGGCAATGATACTTATGCGGAAGTGCTATTGGGTTTGTACTTCCGCATCGATGTTTGGCTGATTTAAAGAGTCCGTACCCCAGACCAATATGCTTTCGCTGAAAGACTTGTGAAGTGTATGAATACGTGTTCTGAGAAAAGCGAATAACGAAGAACCCGTCGTCTTCTCAGAAAGGAACCTGTCATTCATCAGAACATTCAAGACACCCTTTCAACAACCCGAGGATAAGGGAAAGAGGATGATCTTCAACGAGTTCACAAGCCCTATAGACCGGAAACTTGGGAGGAGAACATGTACAAAACGAATCTGATGATGAGCACGAACATGAGGAAGATAATCTGATTCAAAAGGTTTAACAGATTGATACGTGATCTGAGAGCCAGGGCACAACGATTCAAACCGGGACTTTCTGGCAAGCACATTTGATGGTCTTATTTTTACGGCTATACGTCAAAATGGAACGAAAACGCAGGATAAACGTGAGTTACCCATTCCTGAGATTTCGTTAGATGAAGACGATTTGTTACCATAAGTGCTGATTTCACACGACTGGCACTAAAAGAGAAGCAAAGTGAAACGCCTACACTCGATATCACAAGATCATTGAAGTTCTACTTAACAAACGGGAGTGCATCCAAAGGGCAAATGTATTTAAGTACAATCCGCAGGTTGAAGTGTCACAGGCGAATGGAAGCGTGAGAAGTATAAGTGACTGGGCAACGGCTGCCAATCGGACGACAAACAGAGAAGGGCTTTCGAGTGTATCATTGCAGCCTCTTGTTGACATTTTATGAGGAAGCTGAAAAGGGACTTAGAGGATGGAGTCCCGGATATGGGGTTGAAGGCAAAAGTCGACTTCTCGTAAAAACCTTTTGATTTTGAAGGGAATCGTGGCACCAACTGATTCTTCTTCTACATGGGCCGGGAGAAGTGGGAAGACTACCGAAATTGACTTAGTCATGGCTATGGCAAAGAATTGTCGTTTTGATTGATCATCCATTTAACACCGAACCATTGTTGTCACTGCTATGTCGGGGTTGCTGCTACAATACATGCATGGGGAAACAACGCTTCAGCTGTGGGATTGAACAAACTCGGGAAAGTGTGGCGAAGAACTTGGTAGAAGAATGGAGTGACGCACGATGCTTATCATCGACGAAATTTCATTCGCGGGGGAACTTGACTTAGTGAAGATATCCACTACACCAAGACCTTGATGCAAGACGAATACCAACATTTGGGGACTTAACTTGGTGTTCGCGGGGGCTACTCTCAACTTGAACCAGTGGACGCCCCCAATTTACAATCTTCAGCACACCATTCTGAATTTCATGACTCTCTGAATTCATTTATTGAGTAGATGGAATGCACCGTTCAAAGACGATCCTGAATGGGGCAACGCTGTTTAAGATTCCGTGAAGGGCGACCAACAGAAAGAAGATATTGAGACCATCAAATGACGCCTGCGTGGTTGGCCCAACCCATGTTCCACCAGAGAACATTCAAGTTGCTACTTATCTGAATCGAGATCGAGATGCCATTACTCAGCTATCTTCGAAGAATTTGCGGGAAGAACAAACCTGCTATGATTCCGTGCTGATGGATGCAGTACTCATTTTCATGGACGATCTTCAAATGGCAATCAAGCAGGGACACTGGTTCCTGTTAAGAGCAATTGGTTTTAAAGACTTCTTTTCAAATGTGAGAAGACTCGTTAAAACCGGTTCGGACTCACGAAACGTGTTGATCCTGCTTTGAGTTATATAAGGGTGTCCTGTATGTTTACAGAGAACACGAATGTTCCGAATGGAGAAGCCATGGATCTCGGCTTTTTGTGAGAAAGGTGAATGTGAGGATGGTTGCACCCCCATGATATTCAACTCGACAACGGCTGCAAGATCGGGCTTTTTTCTCAGGTCAAGACAAATCTATCCTTGTGGAACATGAAATGGAGACTATTATGCCACTACTTTTTATGTAACGGAGCAGACTACACTTTCAGTACAGATGGTTTTATGACGGAGAAGTTGTACACACCAAGATGAAGGGTAAGCAGTTCCCGATTATCAGCATTCTCGACAACTGGACACAAATACAGGGATATACTGCAGTTGGTTATTGGTACATTCATGGCGATACTGTAAAAACTGGCTTACGTGGTGTTATCAAGGTGCGAACCATGAGTGGTTTGTTCTTATTGAAGAAGCTGGATTGGGATCCAAAGAACTTTGCCATGCCACACGAATGAGAGACATGCTTGCAAGATTTAAGGATACTATTGGGCTTTCTGTCCTAGAGAAGATCAATACGATGAAATGTTCCAGCGAGAAGACGGGTTCTTGTTATAAGTATAACGGTAGGGATATAGGGTAAATTAATCTATATATAAAAACTTTTATTACTACAACTACCTTTCTGAGATTCGCATTGCACTCGTACGTCATTCAATGTCAGTCATTGAAAAAAGATAAGGTCCAATCAAATCAAGGGACCCGAAAAATTAGGACCAACTTTTAAAATGTGAAAAGCAGGCGACTTTCATGTGCATGTACATGCGTTGACTGTATCCGTCAATACAATACTAGTCGAATACGTAGACTTCTACAGGGCCTTCTAAGTAATGCGCGCCGGGTATAATTCAAACCTCTGCCCCCATCGGTACCATTACCCCTAAAGCAAATCGTCTCCAGGAGACGAAATTGTGGAAGCACACTTACTCCGTTAGCATTGGCACGATAAACCCCTCCTTACAGCTCCCTTGAACGGTTTGGAGCTGTACATAAGATACCCCCAATCAACCGTACAGCTGTAGCCAGAAGCACCAATTCCTACCGAGGCCACAGCCAGCCCAACCGCCCCCTCCCGATGACCTATGATACCGGTACCGGTATGATGCAGTATCGCAGAGTGGGTCCCCCGAAGGAGGATGACTTGAATTGTTTGGGTCTGAAAATGCAAACATGGCCCTTATTTTAAGCGAAGTGTCTGCAACTTGATGATGAACAACCCAACCGAAGCTCGAAAAGGGGGTCGTTCGGTCTCGGAGGAACGATCTTTCCAGTGGAAAGGGAGCGGCCGATTAGTTTAGCACTATGTACAGGGGCACTCGATGGGATTGTTGCTCTACCGGTAGGTACTCCCACAGTACATTTTCTAACCGCTAAGAATCTTCAATTGTGAGAAGGTGGAGTTGCGGTGGCACTCCGTACGTACATACAGGTTACGTTTCGTCGGCGGAGTACCGGTAGCAGGTGAAGAGCCGATACCCATGCTTTCCAGATTTTGGGTGCTCTGGCTGGCACCACTTATTCTAGCTAGCAAGCACAGCTGCGGCATTCCGATAGTGTCGGAGAACGATGTCACAGTCAGTGCTCCCAGCCAGCAGTAGTAGCTAGTTGGGCGAAGGACACGTAAAGCAAGCTCGAATGTGTGTTGCACCATTCCATCATTAAGAAAGGCGTTCAGTCGAGCTGAGTTGACGCGTGAGACCACCGTTGGAACGTTCCAGTCTGCAGCATTCGTGGTTGAAGCATTGATAATGGTGCAATCGCACCTACAGATCCTTCTGTCCCAGTGAGAAGAAAGTTGCTCTCCTTTTTAGTTGAGGCCAGAAACCATAGACAATGCTTCAAGTCACGGGATTGGATTCGCCGACTCTGTTTGAAAATCTTGTCTATTCATACACATGATGGGCGCCCCAATGCTTAGTTGAAGAAGCTCTTGTTCATGGAACGATTCAAACAGGCTCAGAATTTGCTGCAGCTCTCATGCCAAGATGAGAGGTGTCCGATTGCCAGGCGGCATATTCTGAAAGAGGACCGTTGGTGAAAGCATTGCTTGTGCTTTTCGTCTTCTGCTTTGTTACCTCCATTGTTGCCCTGAGTTGCGTTCATTGGAAGAGTATTACCACGATCATGATGGTCCTTCAATTTGCCTTAACGTTGTGTTCGGCGCTCACTCTTGCATCAAACGGCGTCATTGGTGCCAACAACGAAGAGTTTGGACGAGCCGCTCCAGTCATCTTGAAGAGGAGGAGTGATGCCAGGGCCTTCAGGTCCCACGGTGCTTCGTTCGGCTTCAACAGAAGGAAACGCCATTTCACAGCACCTGACGATGATCCGATTCCACTTAGTGATCTAGAGTAAGTTCTTTCAATGGTACAATGATCAGCCGTTCGAATGTTTTGTGCCTGACCACTGCTGTTGGAAACTTCCCTCTTTATAGATTGTCAGAGCTCGAACGAGAACTGAGGCTCGATGATATGTCCCTGTCCATGTCTTTTGAAGATTCAGCAAATTCTCCCTCGGCCCCTTCTACCGGCACAGGCAACTCGAACCCAAGCAATCCTGGGAATCCAAGCACCCCTACTTCCATGAACAATCCATCGTCAACTCCGCCCCCGTCGCCTTCGGCTGCAAATGGTCCAACGTCATCGCCCGTGTTTATGACCTCCCCGACGACCCTCTTCCCGACGTTTGTTACGACGACTTCAACTCAAACCCCGTCTATTGCCGACACTAATGCGGACACGAATACCGACACTATGCCAAGCGATGGTACTTTGGACCCTTCGAAAACGATGGCGCCAACTTTCATTGAAGGCCCCACTGCCACGAATAGCCCAACCTCGGAATTGGTTCCCTCACCCGCTCCCACGTCACCGCTACCTTCCATTACCCCAACAACGGTCTTTGATCTTGCACCTGGAACGCGAAGTGTCGGTATCATCCCGCCGCCCCACGGGGATACTACAGTTGTTCGAATAGAGATTGAATACATTGTGGAAGGCTTTGTGGAAAGCACCGAAGAGTTTGAAGATGATTTGGATGGATTGATCTTCATCACGTCCGTGATGGCTGCGCTCGCTGCGAACGATACTGGTGCCCTAGAGCAGCTGGCTTCAAATCGTCGACTTGAGGCTGTTCCTACACTCATGGACGGGCACAGAAACTTGCTGAGCAATTCCTACTTTCTGCGTAAGGTCTTGTAACTCCGTCTGTCTCTCGTGTGTCGCCCGTTCTTCTCATATTGTGCCCTCTTCGTCTTAGGCCCTTGCAATGCGACGACTATACAAGAGAATTGCTTCATTATGGGAGCAGATGTTGTGTTCATTTTAAATGGAGAGAGAAATGCAGATTTCGACGCTTATCTTGCTTACTTGGCACTGAATTCTGAAATGAGCTCCTTTGATGATGACGTTCCGAACGTTACGCGGGTGGAGTACTTGTCGCCCTTGCCAATTCTCCCTCCAGTTTCTTTGGAAGATCAAGAATCATCTACGGATAATCTGCTCACCCCGGGAGGAAACAGCCTGTCTGTCAATCCTATAGCGGTCGGAGCGACAGTGGGTATGTCTGTGTTTGGCCTTTTGGCGCTCTTGGCTTGGAGTCAAAACAGAAGAACGCGTGATCGGCGCCACCATCAGCTCGTGGAGGAGGCGTCACTTCAGCCTTCATCATCGAACTACGGGGGAGGCTCCCACCGGGAAGTGGTGTCCCATCCCATTTGAGCCCTCACTTCACTGTGATTGTTGTACGGTGTGTTGAGATGATGGTACCCTTCTTCAGGCTCAGAACGGTGTCGTGGTTTTATGCTTTGGACAGAAGCGGTGCTTGGTCCCTGCCAGCCTCACGCAAAGCTATTCTTTGCGCATAGTGACAAAGCGAACCTTCTAATGACATGTAGTAGCCATCAAGCTTATCCTGGGAAACCCCTGCTTTTCATCAGTGGATTGTTGCTTGCTGCCGGAGCAAGAGTCGTACAGAAAGTGCAGCGAAGTACCGCAAGACATGGAATCTTGCTTGCTTCGAGTCGAAACTGGTATCGCGTCGTTTGGCATCCCTCATACACTTGGCTTTCATCGCGTGTATCTGTTTCTGCTCGTGTGATCTGCCCCATTGGCTTGTTGCATGTCGCTGTAGTTGCGCTGTTCCAGAGTATCATTGCAAACTTGGACATCCGCCAAACGCTCTGTCACATGAAAACGCATGTATTGAGTCGACGCTTCCATACGTAGAATAGTACATTTTAGGTAGCAGCTAGAGACTTTATCTTACATAGCTCATGGTGAAATGTCATCCTCTCTTGCCCACGACTGCGCAATACGTAGAGAACGGAAGGCGCTTCGACTCAGCCTTTGTTTGTTTGTGATGTCGTGTACACACTCCAAAGAAAGGATTTGGGATGCTAGGATCCGCAATCGGGATTTCTCTTCTGCGGATGCTTCACTCCTTTCTACAGTTTGATCCATACCTACGACTCCCTGCAGGATGAGTAGCATCACTCTAGAGTCTTCAAATAGATCCGCCGTGTCAATTCGATGCATACCGAGCTGGTCGTCTTTGTTCCCCGACAGAATCCTTTGGTACATGACTACGATCAGCTGATATAATCTTCTCTTTTCTGTTGTGGATCGAAGAGGGTCGGCTGTAGCACGCAGCAATGCGGATAGCATGGCTGAGAAAGTGTCAATACTGGGAACCCAATAGCTGCTGCGTATTTGCGAGTTGAAGCTTCCAAGGTGGCTCTTGATATCATACGAGTATCCAACGGCCATTTTCCACGTGGATAGAACAACATCATACCGCCTAGCATTCCCTGCGGCTCGAATTAGCTGCCTCCACGAGCTATCGTTGGGCTCGAGTGCATCCTCTTCCATCTGTTTCAAAACACTCTGAGCTCGATTGATATCACCTGCCCGCGCACAAGCCCTCAAAAGAGCATTATAGCATGCCAAGTCCGCCTGAGCCCCTGTCTCCTTCATTTCTTGAAACACCAGGAATACTTTCATGAGGGCGTGTGCCTTGTCATCCTGAATGTCACCGTGAGGATTGGAGCGAGGCGGTTTGGATTTTCCTTGCTGCTGCTGGCCTTCGGTGAGACTTTTCATTAGCAACGTATAAACCTCAATAGCGCTGCCAGGTGCGTCAGTTTTGCCGTTGTGCTGCACCACAGTATTTTCGTTAATGTTCATTTCTTGCTGTGCTAATATTCCAGCACTGGACATCAACGACGTGTACATGACTTCCGAAGGCACGATTCCATTCTTTTCCATGTAACGAAGGATTCGGAGTGCATCTGCAATGCGACCATGTTTCAAGAGCGAGTCCGTGAGACACCCGCAGGTCACTGTGTTTGGCATGACTCCAAAGTTTGGCATGGAAAAGAAGAGTCGCATGGCTGCTCGAATACGTCCTTCTTTGCCCAAGGCATTGATAGCTGCTGTCCATGCGCCCACCTCGTTGGGCAAGCTGAAATTTTCCGGCCTGCCCTTGTAGCCACCCGATTTTTTCTTGCGGTTGTTGTTTTGTCGCCTAGAATTCCTTTCGATTGCTTGTGGTTGGGATAGTATTTGCTGCTCCGCAGCTTTCTGTCTGAGCATGATTCGCAATCCCTGAAGGGCCAAATCACATCTCTTACACCGACCACACGCATCAATCAAGGCGGAATAGGTCATGCCGTTGGGTCTAATCCCTCGTTGTTCCCTCATTTCCTGCAAGAAACTAAATGCCAAACTGGGATCGTTGGCGCCGGAAGCCTTGCTGGGTTTGCGTGCCACGGTGGCAATCAAACTGGTAAAGGACCATGCATCGGGAGTGAGTCCCGATTCTTCCAATTGCCGCATGGCATCGAGCGCTGCATCGAGATCATCTGCCCTGTGACACGCATCCAAAAGTGTATTGTAGGTTACCAGATTGGGCGTCAAGAGCGGGACATCCGTTCCATTGCCGTGTAGCATTTGGTTCAACAAATCTTGTGCTGAAGCCATGTCGGCCAATTTTGCAAAGGAGTTCATCAAGATATTGGCAGCCTTGACATCCGGGACAATCTCGTTGGATTCAATAGTATAAGTAGTTGTAGCATCATTAATATTCGATGGCATGGTGATGGGTTTGTTGTTGGGTGAATAGACAAACTCGGGGCTTTTCCGCATCAGTTTCCACATGCGTAGTGCAACTCGTGGTTTTCCTACTCGGTTGGCTCTTGACATGATGGTCGAATAGGTGACGAGAGTAGGGGATGGAATTGGCCAAGACCACGCTCGCAAATACTGTGCCAACAGAGCTGCCTTTCTCATTTTCATAAAGAGCCGCAGTGCTCGCAGTAGTTCTCCAGCATCTCCAAAGGCGGCCAAAGCGGCATTGCATTCCCGAATGGAAGGAAATAGTCGACTGGCCACATCGGTAGCTGATCTGCTGTTTTGAGGGTCCTTCTGGTAGTCATTCTTCTTCTGCTCCAGGGCCAATGTACCCTGCAGGGCTTCCAAGGCGAGTGCCATTTGGTTTTCCACGCTCACTGCCTGTTCCATTTTCAGATCATCGGATAGTTGTTGTTGCTGCTGTCGCGACTTGCCTCGGTCCAGTTTTTCTTTTGTGGTTCGGAGTTTTCGTATTCCATTGTTATTATTTGTGGATGTCCTTCGTCGTCGTTTACGAGAAGATTCGTCGTCATCTTCAGGAAGCCCAGCAGAAAAGATACGTTCTTGCGGGGGCGTGGCTTGAACCATGGATAGCACTGTTTCTGCCCTTTGAACGTGATATTCTTGGGAAGCCCTTGCATAATGTCGAGCAGGAGAGTCATTTGAGAAGCCCTCTACATGTACAGCAGATAATGCAGCAATAAAGCAGACGAAGAGCGAGAATACCCTCATTGTGGAATCTTCTTTGGGAACAAACAGCCTTCGCTTGGGTTCAGTAAAACTAACTGTGAGTGGATTGTTGGCTATGAGCTATTGCTACCGGTAGCCATCAACATTTTGTTTCAAAGAAAACCAACTCTTTGATGTGGGCATCATCTGATATATGATTTCTGACGGCTCTATTGGATCTACGGTATCTATCCCCATTTCTTCTGACTCAATGCAGCTGGCACTCTAGTTTTTGTTTTGGGAATTTGAGTGGTTCTCTGCTTCCGACACGTACGTGGGGGAATGAGTCCCTAGCAACCCGGGACCAAGACTGGCTGGCTCTTTGGGTCCGTTCAAACCAAATCGATTGGCCAGGAGCTAATCGAAAGGACGCCAGCACTCGTGTTTTTCGAGCCGCACCACCTTGGATTAATAATACCCCATATCCTGTATACTGGACTCCCGCTGGCTAGCCTAGCTAGCCAAGCATTCGGCGTCCCAAGAGCAGTGCCTTCAGAACGCTCTTCAGAACATGCTGTGGACTTGAAAAAGTCTCATTGAGGCTCTCCAGCAACACTCAAAGCCATCTCTGGCCAATGGCTTGACGAGGAAAGTACAGGTAGCTCCCTCAACCTCATCATCTTTTTGAATGATTCGGCAACCTTCCCTTGATCCCAACATCTTTGTTGCTACCGACAGCTGGTTCTGGCTGCAGGCTGAAGTTGTAAGACCAGCTTTCAGCAACTGAAGGCATTCACAATTCCCTATTGAAGAAAGTCACTTTTTACGCATTCTTGTGCCGCGAGCAAACGCCGCTTTGTGTTGACGTGTTGACCAGACACGATCCTTTGAAGCAGTGCCTCCTGGTAGAGTTGCTTAGTAAGAAGACCATCAGTAGACTACTGTACGTAATTACCACCAACCAGTAACCCACATCCACGGTGCGGACTTGTGGAACACTTCAGTGAAGAACTACTAGATAAACTGTGTCAGAGAGTTGCCCCCAATGAAACAATCATAGGATACCGGTAGAACAAGAATTGGCCTTACTAGCTATTGAATAATGCAAGGAAGACCAAGAGGGTTCAATTATGTGTACATTGGATGCATTTCCAGCTTCATATATTGCGAGAGAGAGGGTACATGTACCATTATTGGTGTTGTTGCAGGAATGGGAACTGGTTGGTGAATAAAGCTCGCGGAATTGAGGTAATTGTGAAATAGCGGAAGCTGCGGCGTGGCAGGCTCCAGACAGCCCTCCCTCCTTTCTCTTCTCTCCGTGGCCAGCCACTCAGCCGCCGCCGCAGCAGCCACCAATCGTGCGGTGCTAAGCCAAGCAGCAGAGCAGCAAGCAGCAGTGGACACGACAGGACCGCCATCTCCCCTCCATCTTTCTCTCCGTTTGTTGGTTGTTGCTAGCTTGTTTGAAAGTGAGTTAGTCTGCCGCGGGTCTCTCGTTTCCTCTCTTTTTTTTCTTGTGGTAGACACGACAACAACAGCAACAGCAACTCCGCAGCACCACCGTAGCACCAACAGTAGCTAGCATCCTACATTGGCACCATCTATTATAGCAGCAGTGAACCCGCTGATGCTAGAATCCGAACGTTCTCTTGCCAGCAATGAAGATGAAAAGACGCTAACAACCACACCAACAGCATCAATCAAGGAAGAGAGCAGTAGTAGCAGCAAAGAGACGGAGCACCCTCGCGTGACGCCGTCGTTGAGCAGTAGTAGTCCTAGCAAGAAAGGCGAGAAGGAGGATGAAGACGTAAACAACACGACAACTAACAAGACGACCAACGGAGTACATAGCAAGACAAACGGCAGTAGTAGTAGCAGCGCCATGGACACTACGCCTGTCAAGAAAGAAGAGGATGTCGAAATGGAAGATGCCGAAGAAACGAAAAAAACAAATAAAAATAACACCAATAGCAGCAATGACACTTCCACAAAAGACAACAACAAGACAGCCACTCCCAAGTCACCCAAACAGCAGCAGCAACAACAATCTACTGACGAAGAAAAAAAGACAGATGACAAGGCCAAAGCTGGCGCCGCAGCCAATGGAACCAACAGCAACAGCAAGACGGCAGCAGCGCCTCCAGCTTCCTCCAATCCTCCTCCTCCTGTCTTGAAGGGAACACTCTCCTACAATCTAGACTTGCGACGACACATGATCCGAGGAATGTGGAACTACGAGAACTCAAATGCCTTTCCTCCTCAACGCTTTGAGTTGGTCAGGACACTAGACAAGGAGGAGGATCCCAAAGAGTTGCCCAAGGATGGAGAATTCCACGGATCCTTCAGTTTGGCCTATTTCCACACAACCTCCAAGGGAAAGCAAAAGGAACGCAGCAAAGTGATTACGGAACACGGAGTCAAAATCACATTTACCAAAATTGAAGGCGTAGAAGACGAATTCAAAGTCGATGGAAAGGGAACCAACCAATTCGGGATCTTTCACATCAATGGCACTGCCAAGCCAAGCATGCACGATGGAACTCCCGAGTATAACATTGTACTCCGCAAGCGATACGAACCTTCCCAACAACCTGCTGCTGGATCCGAAGAAAAATCTAGCAAGAAACGAAAGAATATGGACGAAAATGCAGGTCAGGACAGCGCCAATGCTCCTCTGCCTCCTCCCTCCAAATCATACCCCAGTGGCGTCGTCTGCTTGCGGGGGACGCTAAAGAAGGACGGCTCGGAGGATCTGGGGGCTACCGATGTAGTACACCGAATAAACGGAATGTGGTCCTCTGGTCTGGATCTCATTCTCGCCGATCCACAGAACGTCGGTGGGCTTTGCAATCGATTCGAGTACGAACACAAAAGTGCCGTTCCAAACTCCGCGTTCCCCGTATCAGGGCGATACAGTGGATGGTTCCATCTCAACACCCCAGAAGGCAAACGAACCACCATTACCGAAAAAGACGTCAACCTTCGGTTCATCAAGAACAATGCAGGCTACCACAACGTTGAAGGCCGTGGTTTCAATGTGTTTGGGAAATACACAATCTCGGGAACCTTGAGCATGGAAAATGTCATTACCATTTTTCGACATTTTAAAGCCATCAAGCAAAAGACCAAGACGCCCCCCGTCACATCGGCTCCTCCTCCCATTAACAAGGGAGGACAGTCGGCGGCGTCACGAAAGCAACATGCATTCCCGGAACCGCGCTTGATGATGGATGAGGTCAAGGTTCCAGGTGACGATAATGGAGAAGTGCTACCGCCCATCACGCCGCCGGAGAACACCACCTATTCGGCCGTCTCACAAGGAGTACTCCGCATGAACGATGATGGGTCTCATCAGTGCACTGGTAAATGGGCCGTCACAAGGGAACACTTTAATGGGGGACAAACGAGTCCGTTCAATTTCAGACTCGAACCCCATTTTGCTTTGGAAGCTGTCAATGACAAGAAACGCAAGGAGGGTATCAAGGTCGAGGAGAACACGACTGGCGCTCCGGTGGTGCCGCAAGAATTTCCGTTGGACTCGGCACTCTACAAGGGCTCGTTTCATCTAAAGAAGAAGGGCAATCGGTATGATACCGTTGTCGATCAACAAATTGTTATGAAATTCCGCAAGAGCACTTCCGGCGCCTACAATGTCTATGGCAGAGGTGTAAATGGTATCGGCGTTTTCAACCTTATCGGGACTCTGATCATGGTGGGCAAGACGTCTGGCCGGGTGGAACTGTATAGAATTTATCTTCCTGAATTGCTCACTACCAAGAAGGCTGCTACCGATACGGTAGCCCCTGCTGCTGGAGGACCGCATGGCGGAAAGGGTTTGGTGTTTCCCAAGCCCGCAGCAGCCACCGAAGTGGCACCCCTCCCAGACGCATCGATCCCCAAGGCACAGCTCGTGCCCAGTACTTCGACCATCCTTCCGGGTCCTCCAAGAGGCGGATTGGCTCGACGAGAATCCACGCGCCTCGTCAAGCTGCCATCGAGATTGGAAGACGATGACCCGAAAGCACAGTTGGCACGAATAATGGAGAAGTGCGTTGTGATACTTCGCCACATCCGGGACAAGGATGGGGCGCTAGGTGCATTCTTTAAGGACCCTGTCGACCCGATCGCCCTGGGGATCCCGACCTACACCCAAGTGATCTCTGAGCCGATGGATTTGGGTACCGTCGGTCGGAGACTCGAAGCCAGTCAAATAGATACGCCAGAAGAGTTTGCTCGGTTGGTACGACTGACGTTCGAAAATGCTATCACATTCAACGTCGATCCCAACCATTCAGTTCATGTTGCGGCGCGCAATCTACTGGTCGAATTCAACAAGAAATTCCGAGACATTGAACGAATCCTGGAGACTATCCGGAAAACCCACAAACCGACCGACCTCCTTGATGAGAAGGGCAAGAAGAAGAAACCGGGCAAAGACGACAAGAAGCGAAAACGTTCTGACGAACCCAAGAGCCTCAAACGTCGACGATTAGAAGAAGCTCAGGCCATGTCTGCTGCCAATGCAAATGCCATGGCCGCTATTGTTGCCGCCGCTCCCACTGGAGTTCCCAACGCCGCCGTTTCTCGTGGAGAATTCAACATGATGATTCACATGATTCAGCTCCTTCAAAAACAAATTGTACAAACCCACAACGCCGTTGCCGAACTGTCACCAGGGGACGAGACGGACAACGCTGCCCCCACCGAAGGCATTGCTGCTCCTGCGTTCGACGCGGTAGCTTCGCTTGTGGGACCTGCACCGGCAGCAGCCAAGGGATCGGCGCCCGAACGAAAGAAGCCCAAGAAGAAAGCTGCAGAACCAGTCAAAAAGGCTCCTGCGCCTGCTCCCTCTCCTCCTCCCCCTCCTGCGCCAGCTCCAGCTCCTGTGTACGAAGAAGCTAAGCCCCTCACACTACAGGAGCAGGAGACACTCACCGAAACAATCAACAATATGTCCGGCGATCATATTTCTGGTGTCATCCAAATCATCCGAGAGTCTATGATGATTGGCGACGAAGACGAGATCGACCTCGAAATTGATCAGTTGGACGCCGTTACCCAGAGGAAGCTTCTCCGCCACGTTTCAAAGGTAAGAAAGTATCGAGGCAAATTTCGGGCGCTGTCGGGATGGGTCTTTTTTTCATGGTAGACATTTCTAAACCCCTTTGTCGCTGGTCTGGTCGCGTGTGGCTGCTGATTCGATTTTTTCAAATCAAAATCAACGCAGTTCATAAAGCCAAAGGGAGCAAAGAGAAAGACTACCAAAAAGTCCAAGGGAGCGGCGCCTGCTCCAGCTCCTGCTCCGCCGCCGCCACCAAAGCCCATTCCGAAAAAGTCCGACAAGCTCCCACCCAAGAAGCCCCAGAGCCCGAAGAAGTCAGATCCCGGTTCGTTCTTTGCTGCGTTTGGTAGCAAGGATGACAGTGATTCTGATTCAGATGACGACGAGCCAGCAAAACAAACAGCGGCAACCACACCGACGGGAAAGCAGTTGTCTGCCGCGGCGTCGTCCAAGTCGGACGGCGGATTCGACCTCGGCGATAGTTTTACGGGTCTCCACGACGAAGATAATGATGATGATCTTGGCAGTGGAGGCCTCGCAATGAATTGGAACATCTCCAAAGCTGTTACGGAGAAGGAAGAGAAGGACAAGGGTGGCGACGATGACGACTGGGGCGCGGCACGGGGTGCTAAAGCCAAGAAGGATGCCCAAGATGCGGATCGCAGGAAGCGCGAAGAGAAACAAAAGTTGGAAGCTGAAAAGGCCAAGGAAGAGCGCTTGGCGGAAGCGGCGGCCAAGAGCGCAAAACTCAAGGCCAAACGGGAGGAAGAAGCCGAGGAGGAAAAGAAGAGACAAGCGGAGAAAGAGAAAGCAGAAAAGGAAGAAGCTGAAGCAACTCGTGCAAAGATGCGAGAACAAGTTGGTGCTGTGGAACAGACAGTTGACCTTGATGCCCAACGGGATCTAATGAAGCAATACGAACAGAGCTTCCTGGACAAGGATCTTGGCGGCGGCAGCCCGTCATCAGATTTCGGATTCTGAATGTTATACATGATCTTGTGTGTGAGTGATAGAAAAAAATTTATGTGGGTGATCGAAATCGGACGACGGAGGGCTGCGCGGAAGGAAGACGAGAAAAACAAGGTTTGCTTCTGGAATGGAACAGCACACTTGAAGAAGAACTGTGCATTGGGATGCTGTTGTTCCGGAGCTAGATAACCATGGTCATAAAAAGGGGCTATCATTTTGAAATGGCCATGTTGCACGCCACGCTCAGTGAGCTGTTGCAGCTAGCTACCGGTAGGCTTGGCGCTGTGTAAGCAGACGCCAAACTAATGTATGTAATATTCTGAATTTCCTCCACTGTGTGATTCCCTTCGCCCGCAATATTGTACATTGTTGTTTGTTTGTTTTTTGCTTGCTTCCCTGTAGCTAGTTTTTGGGAGACTTCGAGGATCCAAACCAGCCCTTCGACTTCGATTTGGGTTTTGGTGACTTCTCTCTCTTCTTGTCTTCTGCGGGTTGCTCAGATTTGCTTTTGCCTTTCGCAGGTGGAATGTCGCCTATGCCTGGGATGCTGGTGGGCTCTGCTTTTGGCTTCTCCGCTGCTTTTGCCTTTTTCTTTCGCTCTTGGAGAGTTAGAAACGGAGAGGGGTCTTCGAGCGACAGAAATGTCCCGCAGCCTCCTCGCTTCATGGGATAAATGTTCTTGATCACACCAGGCACAATAGTGGTGATTCCAGAATAGACCTGAAGACACTGAGTAGGGGTGGTGCCATCATCCTTCTCTTCCTTCCCATCCTCTCCGTCAGTCTCTTGCTCCGCTTGCGGAAGAATCACAATCCCCATATCCAACAGCAACTTCAAGTTGATCTCCAGACAAATCCAGTCACCCTCACTACTTTCTTTGTAAAAGTGGTTGGCGGTATCCACTAATCCTTCCTTGAATGTACTGGCCCGCGTAAACTTGCCATCTTTGTGAAAGGTCGGAGGAAAGTAGGCACCCTTATCTTTGACCGCTTGATCCCATTGTGCCTTCTCGCACAAATGATAAATTACCTCTAAGCCTGTTAATGTATTTCAGATTTCACACAATGATTACTACAATAACATCTGAGCCACTGCGCCGAAGGCTTTGCTTTTATTTACCTGTTAATGTAGTTGGGCAAGGAGGCACTTGGATCTTTTTCTTCTTCGGAGGCAGCGCACACGTTCCTCCTTCTGCTCCTCCATCAAAGTCAAGCTCTCCAGCAGCGTAGGCAGCATGAAACCAGCCCATCGTCGTTGTTCAAGCGTCAAATACTAACTGTGGAATCAGAATCAAAGAAGACGGAAGAAACAATGGGACTGTGCCGTCGCCGTGGGTAAAATAACAATAATATTATATATTTGGTGCACTTACTAGGTAATGCATCTGGAAGCTACCAAGCTAGCTAGTCGGAAAGAAGGAGGAACTGTGGGGCTGCCACGGCGAAGATGGACTCCGTTGCACGGGGCCCGTTTTATGCGGTTTGTTGACCGTCCTGTACAGCGTGCCGGTACGAGTACTACCGGTGCTCGCACCTCCGGTACAAGAACAGTTCCAAAATGCAGTGTGGCTTTTGTTGGGGCATCTTGACTGAAAAGTCCTCCTGTCACTGAATCAATCCAGAGCTCCTAGCTAGCTAGAAGGGGGGGTTGCCTTACGGCACCAAGCCCAGCGCCCCCAACTACCGATTGCGCTTGCGCTTATGAATCTATTTTCTATTTTTGATTTTCTAACCCTACCGTTTCGGTTGGATGCATCGTTTACCGATTGCGCTTATGAATCTATTTTCTATTTTTAATTTTCTAACCCTACCGTTTCGGTTGGATGCATCGTTTCCACGGCCAGCTTCGTCAGTTTCAAGCAAAGCATTGAGCCGCAGTGCTGCACAGTGGCGTGCTTTTCTGATTCGAGGAGATGGTTTGCAAGCAGTGATTTCAGAAGGCGATGACCTGTCCAGATCCCATCCTTTGACTGTCAAGGATTCCTGTCGCGCAGACCATGGCGTTTCTTCGTCTCGTCCTGTGTACCCTCGGATACTTCCTGCTAGTGCTGGTAGCGGTAGCGTCCATTGAGCAATGTCCTCTAGAAGATGTTTCAGCTCGGCTCCAAGTTGTCGTTTGCACAGGCGGAGGTGCAGGGGGGAGATCCTGTGGTTTCTTCCCCCTGCGAATGGGGCGGCGCTCTCGGATACCCGTCAGCTCCGCCCTCGTTTTCTTCTCTGCTGGTGGTGGTACGGAAGCGGACACTATTTTCTGCTGCTTTTTCCTTCGTTTCTTGACCTGGGTGGTGCTTGAAATTGTATCCGCTTTGCTTGCCTTTAGTTTTGGGATACTGTGTGTACTTTTAGCTTCCGTCCTCTCTGGCTTGAGCCGTGTGGTATCATGTCGGCGCCAATAGACATTTGGCTCATCGACAACAAAGGATTGGTCTCTGTTCATCTTACTGTTGCCTTCTCAATACCTCCAACTACGATTTTTGTGAGCTCTGTCTCCACTGGCTCTTTGAAGAGCTTTTTGCTTTTACCGCCCCAGCCACCCACCACAAAACCTGGCCAGCCAGGAACCCCGCACCCAGTCGAGCTTTGCTCATCTGGCTAGCTAGCTGCCCAGGTATTGTCTTTGGCCTGCTTTGGCTTCTGGAGCCACTCACCAGCAAAGGATCTGCCCCGACTGTGTCATCCTGGCTGGCCGTGGGAGTAAAATCCAAGTCAGGATCGAGCCGAAGGTGTACTTCTTGTTTAACAGAGGCAAGAGACACTAATTAATGTAGAGTCTGATGATGCTGCCTGTGAGCCATTCTCTAGCCCGGACTTATTATAGTTAGTACTGTACGGTACCACACACGAGTACCAGGTATTATGTACAAGAAAGCACAAAGACCCATTACTATAAAAACAGGTCTTGCAGGCAAGACTTACCGACTTGCCGGCAGTTTTGTTTCAAGTAAACAGAACCCAGAGTCATTCTGGCTAGCTACCGAAAGCAAACCCATCAAGATCGAAAGAAGCAAGTATGGAAGAGTAAGTACAAGTTGACAGCCAGCAGTAAGCTTTGGAAGTTGGAAGCATTGGGAAAATGGAGAAAGTAGCACCAAACGCAACAATCCAGGTCTCCGTTTGCTATGGCAACAGCCAGCTTGCTCGGTTCGGTTACTATGTACACGTGTGTTTAAGAAGCAACTAAGTCAGTCGATTCGATTCCGTGGCGACTGGCTAGGTTGAGCAACCAATACCTCGTAATGCCTCGCTCAAGTTTCCTCCTTCCAAAAGCTATACCGGTACCAGGTAGTCAATACCATCTTTTGTGCTTTCGTTTCTTTTAGTCTCAAAACACAACACCTTGCGTGGCGGCCTGTACAATCCTTCTGCGCAATGGTCCAACTTGCTGCATTACATTCATTCCAAAACTTTTGGCGTGCATAAGAGGTACATTATCCTGTACGGCAAAGATTTCATGCAGGGCGTGGATCCCCATAATGACACTGGAATTGGCTGCATGGCGTTTCCGGAGAAAACTGTCCAGCCCATAGGTCACATCCATGCCCACCGCTTCCGATTCGACAATGGATTCCACCAAGGACTCGACCGCTCCAAGCCCCAGATTCAATCCTTGACCGGCCATCGGATGTACTGTATGGGCCGCATCTCCGACCAGCACCACCCGATTGGATGCATGATGATACTGTCCCACATTGCGACATGCCAATGGGAAGGATAGTTTGGGTGAAACGATTTTGGAAAGTTTAGGCGGAGCCATCCAGCTTCGTGAATTGGTGGCTGCCAACATGGCACCCGCATCTTGGACTGTCTCCAATAAACGTTCCACTCCAAAGAGGACATTGGAAAGTAGAGGAGGTACTTGACCCGGTTTGGACTCAACAAGAGGCGGCAATCGCTGGGGTCCAGTCTGCAGCAGGTTTTGCAAATGATCAATCAATGCATTATTGTCGTCTGTTTCTTTCCACTTTTTAACCATTTCTGGAGTGGTGCTCCATACCACAATGGCATGTCGGGGGGAATGAGTTGGCAACAATGCCAAGGGGCCCCTTCCAGCTTCTTGGCCATGAATGAATCGTTGGTAGGCAGTTCTGGGTATCCGATCATCTTGAGATAACTCCACTGTAAAAGTCAGAGCTTGTCGGCCATAATCCCATTGAGCTTGCTTTACGCCGAGTCGTTGTCGAATGGGAGATTGTGCGCCATCGGCTGCGACGAGCAACCGTGTTTGATGAATTTCATTGTCGGATGTTTCTACTGTCACCACTCCTTGGCCATTGGAAGAAAGCTGCAAATCTTGGACCGTCGTGTTGGTAGAAATAGTGGTTTGTGGATGAGATTCCAATTTCTCCCAGAGAGCCCGGACCAAGGGACCGTCTTCGACCACGGCTCCGAGCATTTTGGGACGATCCAATTTGGCTTCGTCAAAGGGCAAATCATCGGCGTGAAAACGAAGCGTCGCTGGATTGCGAGCTTCCCAAATTTGCATGGCATCGTACCATCCTAATTTGACATCCTGATTGGCCATTTCATCACTAGTAGTTTCTTCCGATGATAACAGTCCCAAAATATCCAGAGACTGTGGCGACAAGGCGTAGGAACGAGGGTGTGGAATCTCGTTGCTGGATGCTGGTTTGGAGGTCGGTGCATCTCGGGCTTCGACAAGATGTACCGACAAGGAGGGAAGCCGCTGATTCAGCTGCCGTGCCAATGCGCAACCAACCACTCCACCTCCTACAATCAAGACATCCGAATAGCGTGCTCCTTCGTTACTGGCAGCAGCAGTGTCGTTGGATAACCACCGCGCTGACAAGGATGCCGCCAATGGTAGGCCGTGACTATTCCTGCTGGCAGTCAGCCTTCTCTTCAGCAGGATAGATGTAGGTGCTCTCAGTCTACTAATAACTGTCATGGTCAATTTATACGAATCCTTGAATGCAAGAATACAAGGGACCGTCGTTGTTGGTCGCCGTTGTGAGTGCTATTGTCGCATTGTCAGCCTCGGAGTGAGTCAATACAATAACCCAGCGAGCTGTAAACACGTCACGTTAGGAGGGAAAGTCGCTCTTCCTCGTCCGTCCGAAATCCGCAAGTTTGCCCTTTGACTGATAGGATCTGGAGGAGAGAAGAGAAGACGAAATTCTGGCTGGGTGAGTGGGATCGGGGGCGACAAACTGGGGACCTGTCGAGGGCAGAGAAGCTGGAGTTTTCTGTGTGGAAGTGGCCTACCGGTGCTGCGACGGTACCGTACAAGGTAGAGCATGCACAATACCTCGCTCCAGAAACCAGGGATTGTTGTACATTATGTGCTTGAATAGGAAAATATAAAGTCTACGGTGGGAATAGTGGTAAGTCAAGACACACTACTAGTATCGCTATTGGTCGCTCCCTCAGGTGCTTGGTTGCACCAAAGGAAAGCATTTGAGTCCCAAAACCTTGATGGAAGGTGCCACACTTGGTTGCTGCGCCCGGCCCGCACAGCCAGCCCTAAACTTTGCCTTTCCCAGGTCCTGTCACCGTCCCAAAGAGACAATGTTTCCTCGTGGTTTCCATTACTGTAGAAGGGGCTTGGTGGTGCGAGTGTTGTATGGTACTGTATATGTTTACAGCAAAAGATCATGTAGGAACTACAGAAGCAAAGCGAAGAGCTTATTCGTTGTACAACATAGCCATCGTTGGCGCTGCCCGGGTTACTGTATCCGTTGCTTTTTGTTGATATATCGTTTCTTCTCCTCCTGGCGTCCCTCCAGCGTCTTTCGCCGCATCCGTGTTGCAGCTTCTTCCGCCCCTGTCACAACAGATTGTTTGGATTTGTCTTCGTCGTCCTCAGCGCCGCCCTCCTTGTCATCCTCGTCGTCCTCACTATCATCTTCGTCTTCTTTTTCTCCTCCTTCGTTAGCATCGCCATCATTTGCGTTGCTCGTGTCTTTCTCCTCGTCTTTTTTTTTGTCACCTTCCTTGTCGGCAGCCTGTTTTTCCTCGTCGTTGTCGTCAGCCTGTTTCGAGGCGCCTTCATCAGTCTTTTTGTCGCTTGGGTGGGCGAGTTCTTTCAACTGCTGGATCCTCTTCCTGTGAATTGCTCCACTATCCAAACCAGCTTTAGCAGCTGCCATCTTTTCCAACATCACGTCCGACATATCGTGTTTGCCGTCTCGCGCCATTTCTCGCATAGAATGATCTAGGTCAGCTTGAAACATCCTGGATTTGCTCCTTTCGTGTGCCATTTCTCGTAAAAGATCGTCTTCGTAGTCGTGCTGATGCTTTGAGTCTTTCTGGTTCTTGGCGAGACCAGGAAAGTCTTCCTTGTTGGGTGGTTTCTTTGCCGGCAGCAGGAGCAAGCCCAATATGGATCCCTCCATGACGTCTCGCGAATTCAAGCAATCCACCCACTGCTGTTGCGTCACGATATCCTTGCCAACATTGCAATTTTTGGGGTGCCATCCATGAATGAGACCGTGTTCTCGTTGTCGATCGACCCGCATACTGTTGTGTACCAATTTGTAAAAGTCATTGTCTTCGTGTCCCCAACCTTGATGCTCTTCGTTGAATCGGAATCGTTTGGCATCGCCACCCGTCAAGACGTACATGCCATATCCAAAATCGCGCCACAAGCCACGATGCCGCGAAAAAGGTGGAAGCATTTGTGGTTCATTGTCGCCTGTTTTGGTATTGGAAGGATATAAAAAGTCTTGGACCAGTTGGACCGTTTCGGGATTGAATTCGGAAAAGACAATGGGAAAATACGCTTTGGTGTACGGCTTGACACTCCGTAGAGCTCGATGAAAGAAAATGGGCAAGACCTGCATGTCGACATCCATGGCCGTAACAATGCACGTATCTTCTACACAGGCATTTTCATGCAAGGCATTCCGTGCATGTGCCCGATTGAATTTGAGTGGATGCTCTTCATCATTGAATCCTACCCGCACAAGCACCACTTGTTCCTTGGGCAACGTCATTCGTTTGGCCAGATCCTCGTGGAGAGCTTGGAAATCGTCATCATTGTCTGTTTCATGAACGTCGGCAGGATATCGCGTAATGAGTACTCGAAATTTCAACTCGAAATTGGGTTGAAAATCACTGCCCGTTTTGACGTCTTTGCCTTCTTCTACGGCAGCCAGTTCATTCTCTTGTTCCTGTTTGAGTGTTCGTAGGACAGCCGGCCGTCGTTCCGTCTCGTACCACATTTCAAAATTGGACAATGCCACCCCCATTCGATCGGCAAACAGCCGCAGTCGATCATCTTGACCGGATGCTGGGACAATAATGTCAACTTGATTGAATTCGTAGGGTTTGGGGTGCAGCAAATCGTCCTCGTCGTCATCGGCCGGTGGATCTTCGTCTTTTTTGGCGGATGCACTGTCGCTGCTGATTTTGTTTGCGGTACTGCCTTCCAAATGATGTGGGAGTAAATTGAGAGTATACTGTAACAATGTGTCATCGTACTCTGGACTAATGGCTTGCAGCGTTCCCTTTTTCGGTTGGAGCCATGGGAATTCGACATTTTCTTGATCCAATTCATCCACGGCGGGTCCTTGCAGCATTTCAATATTCAGCATGCGTTTGTGATTGACGCCTTGTAACAAGCTGTCACTCGTACTAGTACTACCACCAGAAATGCTCTCGTCCAATGCAGATTGTAGTGCACTTGCGGGTGGCTTGGGTATTGGTGCTTGTCCTGCTGTGGCAGTGAGCAAGGATTTGCCACCCGCATGCAACAAGTCCCCTATTTCATCGAATCTTCGGTTTATTACTGTGTGAATGTATCCGCAGATTCCTGCCAGCACCAAGGGAACCAGTCGAAAGGTCTTCATCCTGCTGCTCTTGGACGAGGCTTGCATGTATTGTAGTCTATGTGCTCTCGGAAGAAGGAAGCGGGAGAGCCAAGGTGGAGACAGTGGAATGGTACTACTAGCTAGGCTGCCTTTTTCAACTTCACTTGCTCTCGTTTTCTGGCTCCGAGAATGATGACAATCGATGGGCCATCCAGAAGTACCGTGCACGAGGTGGCCAACTACTTGTAGCAGTGCTTCAATTGTTGTATTGCAATAAGACCTGGCAAAAAGATCACGTTGGGGTGCAGTAAAATAACCACTTTTCTTTGCGCTTGTTTTGTTCTTGTGGACAACGGTTGTCGCTTGTCAGCGCCACCTCTTTTGAAAGGTGGTTTGTTAAGTCTTTTTTACATGCTACGGAAGGTGGGGTAAACTTTGAAATTTTGCTTGCTTGGCGCTGTCGAGCACCTTGGATTTTTGGGACTCCGGCCGCCTGGATCAGGGAATGTTGCCTGTGCCCTCAGGTACATTCCTATCCACGAACATGTGGTTCGTACGTACGCCGAGAACCAAAAGAGAACCACATTTATTTTCATTTAGTAATCGCGTATGTGGCTTCATTCTTAACCATTCGCAGATACGTCATTCGCGAATAAGCCCAACTCTCCCGAACTCTCAGTAGGGTTAGGGTGAAACTATCCAAGCAAGATTTTGCCAAAACGCAATCACCGTGCGTCAGGAAATCTCGTGATAATAGCACATGATTGTTCTTTGAAAGAATCTCGTTGGGGGCTAGTGCCTCGTGCATCACCTCATGTTGATTCTCGTGCATCATGTGGATCCACAGGCAATCATGTGCATCCATTTGTGGCTCCTCTTTCACCACAATTTCCCTTTTTTTGAGTTCTTCCTATCACCGTAATCGAATCGAATTTCACCGCACTCTCCACCCGTTGTCACGATGAGTGAAGATGGCAGCGATGGGTCCATTGATATTGGATGGCAACTACAGGAGTCTGACGAGCGGAACAAGAGGAAGAGAGATGAAGCGGAAGCCGAGGAGTCTGAGTCGTCCCCAGTCGCAGCCCCAGTCGCAGCTTCTCTTCCCCGTCCACGTCAAAGCTTGCAGGAAATACAACACCGAATGCAGATGCAGATACAGGAACAGCATCAACAGCGTGCTCTTGCAGTGCCGCCTCGACCTTTGGAATACTACGACGATGAGTTTGCCCAAGACATGTACATGGGGCAACTCAGAACCCAGGAATTACGGGAACGACCACCACGTCCTAGGACGACTCCTTCGCCTAAGGAACATGCACGGTCTACCTCCGCCTCTCCCGTACAGAGATCGGCCTCACCGGCAATGAGGAAGGCCGCCAAGGAAGCTGCCAAACAGGTTCAAAAGAAGAAGAAAGAAAACGAAAAGATTGCCAAGAAAGAGGAAGACGATAGGCTTGCAAAGAAGAATAACGACAAAAAGATTGCCAAGAAAGCGGAAGGGGTCAGGCTTGCAAAGCTTATCTCTGCAATGATTTGCGGACACGACCACATCGCGCACAAGCACAAAATTGTGTGCGGGCAAGAGCAAAGTCCCAAGGATGGCGAGATCTACAACGTGGCTATGACAATGACCGTTCGTAAAGACCAACCCAACGAAGAAGTTCTGGACTTGTCCAAATTTACCAGCAAGGACGTCCGTGCTCTCGCTCTCAAGTGTGGAGTCAGGGGAGGTGGTAACATGACTATTTTCACTGCAAGGATGGAGATTGCACGCAGCATTCAGATGGGCACTATGTACACTGACCTGTCTATTGCGAACCCAGGTTCTGATGCCGCAGCCGTGAGGATCAACACTCTCATAAAACTTTTGAATATATGCTTCCACGCTGATAATTTCACTGCCTTTGTTGCTCTCAACGACAGTAAGGGACGCAAGGACTATGAAGAACAGCCACTCTCAGAGCAGGGAGTTAGCGGAAATCCGTGAAAGACTTTTGGCTTCTTGTCTCAGACACGATGAATGAGACGGATGATGATTCGTTTGACACCGTCTTAGGATTGCAAGAGGGGGAAAACGACAGGCTAGTGCATGGAACCAAGAAAACGGTTTCAACCTTAAAGATATCAGCCGTGGCCACACATTACAAGACGGTTAAGCAACATGTGTGTGACTTGATGAAGTCACGCGAGAGATGCCGCATGGAAATGAAGAAATCCGGTGAGCACAGCAACGACTTTGGACATACTGTACAACGACGAAGTTTACAAAAGTGAGGAAATCTACGTCTGCTCTACCTGCCGTTACAGTTTACTACTGTGACTATCTTTGTGTGCAACAACCTGCCATTGATGGCAAGTTTGCGGCATTTATGGACGAAGATTTGAAGAGTGACTCTACGGTTGACTTTACTGGGAGTGCTGATTCGGCTGGTAGCAAAGCGGGAAAACTTGCTGTATCCGCCGTCGTGGAATCCCTTGCCACCGCAACCACCGATTTGAAGGAAGCAATGAGCCAAAGAAACAACGCGACGGAGGAAGTCTCTCAAACGAAGAGCTGGAATGACTATTTCGATGTTGGCGATCGGTATTGTAAATTGAAGGAGGATATCCGCAACGGGGATTCGTCCAAAGCCCGTATGGTTGGAGCCATGGAAGTTCGTATCCGACAACTTGAAGCGCACTTGAAGATCGTGCCGGCCAAGTCAGTTATTGAAACAGAGGAAACTGCAAGTATTCCCCATTTCAGCTGCATCATTCCGAAGGCCATTTCGACACGTATGCGACACTGACTGGCGTAGAAGTTGAAGTTGTCGTAGAGTGGAACCAGCTTGTCAGAACCTTGGTAAACTGGAACCATACGCTCTGTGGGGATATACGCAGCATCGCGATTACACAAATACCGGATGGTAGTGACTCGACCAAATTGTGCAAAGCACATTGCTGCATAGCATTACGGTCGTCAGAAACGCCTGGAGCGGCATAGGCAAAGAATATGAACCGTGAATGGTGATCCGCCACGGCTTGAATATTAACTCCGTAGCACTGATAGTGTCCAGAGAAGAAGCTACGAATGTTGCCTGTTTCCTTTTTTGCGGGAACCCTTATACGCATAAGATAGCATCAACGACACCCACACAGTTGCTTATGGCGCCACCATCGGATATCCCAGCAAAGCCGTCTATTGCATCTTTTATTTCCTTGTCGGTAGTTGGGAAGCGAATCTTCAGCTGCGGAGACTTACAGATTGCCGTTATAGTCTTCCATAGTACGCGGTAGAATGAGCTCTCTGATATTCCAGCGATGTCGGTAATATCTAGATATGAGCCGCCAGCCAAATATCGAAGCGTGCAATAGAGACAGAGTTCAGGAAGAATGGATCCTCCTCTCCGCAAAGCTTGCGTCTCGTTTACTAGCAAGGCGTCAACTACGAAAGAAAGCAGTTTGTCGAAGCTTTCTTTGCTCATTCGTAGTCGTCTCTTAAAGGTTGAACGCCTCTGGTGTTTTTCGCAGTAGTGCTGCCAAGCCAACCTTTGTTCGAAAAAGGAAGGGTTCCGAGGTTCGCCGGGTAGACACAGTAGAAGGCCCACCGTTAGAATAAAGAGCTGCAAAAGTAGTGCGACATCTTGTTCGTATTCATCGTCCATGACGACAATGACAACAGCGTGGCTACAATGCTGCCGAATGGCTACTACTATACATGTACCGAATGGCTACTACTATACATGTACTTCTTCTCACTTTTCAATGATTGAGAGAGGATGGCTCGAGATCTCACTTTTCGATTTTCGAAACTCGATAGAGTTGGGGATTTGCTGTGGGAGTTTCGAGCGTTATGATTGGCCCTACGCGAATTCCAAATCCATTCATCCTGCGACCGCAGCTCCACTTTTTTCTATAAACATTTCCTGCGGTTCGCCGTATCTGTGGATTTGGAGTCACCTTTCCGAATTCGGCAGTTATTTCGAATTCTTTCCATTTCGCGTACGTACGTACGGTAAATTCTGTGGTTAGGAACAAACCTCAGGCGAGGTCCTATCCATTCTCCATGTGTGTCCTCCGTGCATTCGCGAAACACATCTATTTTCGTAGATTTTTTTGTTGTAAAAAAAAGAGAGAGATCCTAGCCCTGAGATTAAGGCTAGAGGACCGATTCAGAACCAGGCAGTTTGGAACAGAGTTTGTTGGGTGATGTTGAGGACCTCTTGGTCATCCATCCCAACCCAAAGTTGCCATGGATGTTGCCACTTCCCTGCTGGAGGTGGATACATCACCAAGTATGGGCCCTCAATGGGGAGGTATACCCCAACCAACACCAATCATACCATCAACTCACGGCACCCACCAACACCCCATTCGTGAGATACCCAACTACAAAACCTGTGTCTTCAGCAGCCTATCAGCCCATACCTATTAGGCCCACATCATCCAAGACACCAGTACACTCAGCCATCCCTCCAGTCGGCCAACCTACTGATCAACCGGAGAAGCCAAGAAGGAAGTCAGCCTTCATTCCACCCCTGATGGCAATGGTGGTCTCCAAGTCCCAGAGGTGGTAGAGAAGGTGGCAACACAGGCCTTCCAGGCAGCCCTTTCGTGCCAAGCCGGATGCCACGGCCTACCCTACCCTCAAATCCAACAAGGACTTCGACCAGTGGTATGAGTCCTTTATCACTATGGCTAGAGGTCAAGGGTTTTATAAGATCTTTGATGCCGACTACGTCCCAAGCAGCACCGAGTCCATGGATGAAACTCATACGAATGAATCATTGGTTCTACGCTGTTTTCCAGAAGACAGTGCAGACCACCAATGGAAGGTGATCGTGAAGTCCCATTTCATGACTCTGACTGCTTTGCCATTCTCGTTGAGCTTGTCCAGAGCTCACTTGTTCGTAGCAGGTTCTCTGGTCATGTGGAGACACTCACATGGCTGACTAGTGTGCAATACAGCCCAGAGAGCAAGGTTCCGCAGTGGACTTCATTGTCAAGTTTGACACAGTTGTTACCCGATACAATGATGGCCAAGGAGACTCCAGTGATAGGCTCCCGATGGTATACAGAAGCTGTTCTTACAGCGGGCCTTCACCGTGTCCCCACCTTGAACGACATTTCTGCACGTGAACATGAGAGAGTATGTCGCGAGGGACATCATGCATCGTTTACATACGACGGGTACAAGGAGGTGCTACTGAATGCTGCCACATTCTTTGACATCAACCGAAAGACGATGATTCACGTCTAGCCAACATCGCTGACATGGCAAGACAGGACATCAGGGTGATGGGGAGCAGTGTAATATCCCACGCCTTCCCGACAATGTCTGGTCTCAGCTATCCAAGCAATGGACGGCAGCTTGGTACAAGCTCTCCGTCGCTGACAAGAGAGTCTTGGTGAAAGCACACCATCGTCAAGCCCGGATGTCTGACCTGGTTGATCCAAAGAGCGAAGCTGACCCAGCAGTCGGGGACGCCTTAGATCCTCCAGATGGCAATGTGGTGACTGCAGCCCTCAAGGAAAGTCCAAGACGGATTTTTGCCTGGGCACTAGTGTTTGTGTCGCATGGTTGAGCCCAAGGTACCAGGCACCGCCATGGCTGCGGGGTAGCATGCCACCCTCATAGGGGCTACTTCCGCAGGACATGGCCAGATGACAAGTTTTTGTGCTAACTTGTCATCTCCAGGATAGTATTCCAAGTACAAGTTTTGTGAAAACATGTTTTGGTGACTCCCACCCTCCGCCCTGATGGCACTTCCTTCACTTTCGGGTGATGGGGAGAACTTACACTGTGTTCACCCTCAGCAAAGGTGAAGCAGTCGGCTGGAGCAACACCCACCCAAGCTGTGGCTGTGGATGAGCCACTTGCCATGTCATGTGACAGGACCTGCACCGGTCATACCCAAGCAAGCACCAAGTTAGTCGTGTCTCGGACGGGATTCCTTTGAACCCATGTAAGGAGATGGTAAACTTGAGGAGAGTCTGCGAGGTGTTGCCTTTAGCTAGGCAATATCTGATGATAGGACAACCAGTTCCCACCTCATAGGATGACAACTCGTCACCTAACTACCCAGTTGAGGCTCCAGATGAACAGCTATGGCCCAGATTGTTCTCACTGGCCCTTATGGGGAGATAGACAGATACCTCCTAAGCCAATGAGCTGTGATGCAAGTAGGGGAGACCAGATGAGATCCCAATTGAGGTCAAATGGCCAATGCCAATGCACCCTTCTCTCCTGAAACGACTGGAGGTTCGATCACAAGCCCATGTGATGCCCCTCCCAATGTGCCAAGTGGTACTCAGCAATGGACACCTGATGTATTCAAGAGGGTTGGTAACCCTGAGGTATGCGACCAACGTCCACACTGAGCAGTCAGATGCTCCCAGTTCATGGAAGTATCGAGGAAGCCCCATGATGTGCAAGCTTGTTGGCACCCCATCCATGACTCAATGGTGGGGAGCGATGAATATGCCAGGAGCCATTATGGGTGCGGCGCAGCTGTGCTGGCTCAGTCTGGTGGAAAGATCGCTGCTGCATCTGTACACTCTTTCAGTACAATGAGCTGTGTCACCATCAGACAAGATAGGAACAGCTGTAGAGGACATAGAGTTCCTCTGCAAGGAAGGATGATGCAGCTCCTCAGCCATGACCTATCTAGAAAGATAGCTTGGTATATACCAGCCAAAAGAGATGCATGGATCTGTATCCTGCATGGCTGGATGGAGTTTCACGCAAAATCAGAGTTTGTGTTTATATTATAGTTTAAAAGAAGTAATGAAGAAGTAGTTGACCTGAGAGACAGACCAACAGCAACAAGTAGAGCTCTGAGTAGACAGGATCCTGTATGGCCAGTGCCAGGGTATTGAGCAATTAGACTGTTCAATCATTGCTTCCACAGTGATTGAATAGCATTGGCTGCCAGCCTGGTGGCTGGCCCTTCCAGCGCCAGTGGAAGGAGATCTCCACCAACAGAGCTCTCCATCCCAGCTCTGTGCACCTACCAGCTGAGTTCTACCTGGAATTCATAGCTAACCATTGATTGTGACCTCTTTATTCTCCCTTCGTTCGTGAAATCAATTTAACTGTTAAAATCGGCTTGCTTTCACTCCATTTCCACGAAAGCTGCGGTACGGCGAACCATTGATTCCCATTCTCAATTCGCCGTACCGTAGCTTTCTTGGAAATGGTTTCGCGTAGGACCAATCAAAACGTTAGAGCCAGCCGAACTAGTCACGGTCACAATTCTTCAACTCTATTCTCCCAGTTCGGCGACTGAGTGTTGTTCCAAGAAGTTCTTTATGTTGTTCCAAGAAGTTCTTTATTGCGTGTGGTACTCACACGGTATTCACGGTTGGCCATTTTGTTAGAGTTGGGATTCGAGGTGGTTCGTGTTCGCGCCAACGTGCGAACCACTGTATGTGGATAGGAATGAAATCTTGATTCG